GGAATGGAAAATGTGGGCCAAAAGGAGATCAAGCTGGTGACCGGCCGCACAGACGAAATCAAGTGGCGCATTAAGCGATGACTTGGGAGAGAAGAAGCATACAGGAAGGTTGAAGGGAGTTGGTACAGATAAGGAATTGGTACATTAAAATATTGGTACTCATACAAAAAAAATCCTCGAGGACCAAACTTGATGCATCGTGGAACAACACATCAAGCTAAAAATCCTAGTACTAATACTAAAATGGTTGTGTCCATCCCTAGTTGGTGCACAGGCCGGGAGAAGTGAAATGCTCTGTCAATTTTAATAGGGGGAGGCACTCCTCCGCCGCCGCCATTAGCCTTCTACAACCCCGTCCCCTCCCCCACGTCACCGTTGGTGCGCCGCCAAGCAAAGCCCTCGGCGGCAGTGCTCCCATCCCATCCTTGCATCCCATCCCATCCCATCCTTGTCGTCGCTCCGGTTCTTCGGCGTGACGGCACGGCTCTCCTCGCTAGACCCCGCCACCGCTCGAGCTATGGGTGAGCCGCCGCCACCACCGGGACTCACCCTCCTCTAGCTACAGGGCTGCGCGGTCTCTTATGGCGATTGGGGTGCGGCCTCCCGGCTCCTGGTTGTGGGCCTTTGGCCATCGTTGGAGCCAGCCCTCTCCCAACTTGGTGTCCCCGGCGAGGTCCCTGTCTTCCAGATCTGGCGCGCCGAGTCATTTCTCATCCTGATCGTGACGGCATCAACCGACCACTTGAGCGGCAGATTGCAGAGGACACCAAATGGTCTTCATGAGGGACCCTCTCTCCAGATCCAGTGGCTGCTATCGGTGACTCACACTGGCAAGGTTGCAGGTTGTAGCCAGAAGGTTCATTTGTGGGTTTTGGCGGCTTTCACTCCAACTAGTTTGCATTCGGTGGAGAGATGAAATCTATGGACAGCAGCTTCACGCAGAGGGTATGGTTGTGTAGCGGCGGCTGTGGTGCCGTCACTCGATACTATGCTACACTTGTAGCTACTGGGATCGCTGAAAATGGTGACGACAATACATGATTGACTTCAATTTGGTGGTGCTTCTCTAAGTACCCGGTCTCGAGCTCCGCGGTGAAAACCCTAAGTCTGACCCGAGTTGCTATACCTAGCAATAGCAATGTTTTTGTGTTGCTACCTTGTTGAAGGCCTTGGTCGGATATGCTCGAACTTATTCTTCAGGGTGAAAAATTATAATCTGGCCTTTGGTGGTTGGATCCGGTGATGACAATGCTTGAGCATCGTTCCCTTCCTGAAGGTGTTGCTGTTGAAGAACCTTTGTCATTGTTCTTGTGGTGTCAAAAGATGGTTGGCGCGGATATGGTCCTTGCCATAGTTTATTAAACGCTTCTTTTTTCCTTTCATCGTGTACGCATAGCTTTGATCATGCATGAGTTTGCTCTTTGCCGGCGTGCTTTTCTTTTGTGTGTGTGTACGCGTTGGTGTTGATTGTGTGCATCCTAGTTATGCACAAGCCAGGTGTGCGCTCATTGTGTTTGTCTTTTGAGTCAATAAAATCCACCCTTTGTAAGAAAAAAAATGGAGGAAGAAATAGGCATGTGTTCACTTGCGGCGGCCACATGGGATCGAGAAAACACTTGTTACAAAGATATTGGAAACCAGTGCTTGCCAAATATATCTTTCAGAGATAAATATATTTGCACTGCTCCAGTAAAGTAATATAACCATTTGTCACAGATTTTGCGCTAACATATTTATATGCAAAATAACTATTATGGCATAATACTCGGGACTTTGTCATAACCTAAAATTATATGCAGAAAAAACATATTGTTAACCTAGCCGCGCAAATGCATGGGCCACTCCTTATGATTGAGAATGAAAATAGTAATGAAAGTGAAGTTGCTTATGATTGGAAGCCTTTACCTTACAAACTAGTCTTTAGTCAATAATAAGAATCCATATTCATCTTCTTGAAGACAAAGTCTGCTATGATGATCAGCTCATCGCCACTTTTAAGATCTCGCAAGACTGGGAACAACTAGAATAAAAAAAGAGAGTAGAAGATCATCGATCAAGTGAGAAAACCATGCTGCTATACCTATACAGTGGATAAATAGAAGATTTTCTACCAACTACTGAACAAAAGAAGTGCCAGTGTGTTGTACTCCCTCCGTAAACTAATATAAGAGCTCTTAGATAGTGATCTAAACGCTCTTATATTAGTTTACAGAGGGAGTTGATCTATAAGTGCAGAACATTGAGATCAAATATATACCTGAATATGGGCCGGTAATAAAACTGATAAGGCACTGATGTGAGTGTTGTAAGAGTAGAGCGTGTTAGCATAAAC